GATGATAGTTTTTTATTAACTTTATTATGTATATAAAAATATTTAGATTTATTTCTCTTTTTTTTTTTTTTTATTTTATTTTTTTTTTTATAAATTTAAATTCTCTTTCTCTTGGTTATATCAGTAAAAAAAAGAGAAGCTCTTTTAATTTTTTTTTCTTTAACCACCATAAATACCATATATATTATGTTAATATATATGTAAAAAAGTTACATAATTTTTTTTTTGTAAATCAATCAGTATTTGATTTTATTTAAATTTTTTAATTATTATATTAAATTTTTATTTTTTAATTTTTATTATTTTTAAAATTTTATTATTTTTATAAATCATATAATTTAATAATAAATAATAATATAAAATTTAATACAAAAAAAATAATAATCAAAATATATATTATAATAATTAAAGTAGTAAAAGTAATTGTATTTATGATTTTTATATTATTGTTTTTTGTTTTTGTTTTTTTTTACTCTTTATTATTTATTTTTTGTTTGATTGATTGATTGCTTGTATAGTATTTTATTTTATAATTAAAAATTATAAGGATTAGTATACTAATTTATTTTTATACAATTTAGAACAAATATTTTTTGTAACATTATTAAATAATAACAATAACAATATAAATAATTTAAAAATAATTTTCTCAATATTAATTAAAGAAAAAAAAAAAAAAAAAAAAAAAAAAAACCAATTATAATAATCTTAAAACTAAACCCAACACCAAAATCCCAAAAACAACTTATTTATGGTAAAATATATTGTATTTTACTTTTTTTTCAATATTTATAAAAGGCATTGGTTTCATGTGCTTTTCGATCAGTTAAAAATATATGAGAGATATAACCAATAGAAATAGTATTAGTACTCACCCAGTTCAACATTTCAATGGGCTAAATAATAATCAAAGACCTAATACACCTCCTCCAAATAATCAGCAACAAGTTGAAAATAATTTATTAAATGAAAACTATGATAATAGACCAACTCCTTCAGTAAATAATAATAGTGGTTTTTCAGATAATAGTTCAAATAGACATCATAATCGTAACGGAAGTAATAATTCCGTTATAAGTGCAAATCAAATGAACCTTGATGATCAATTAAGTGAAAGCAATAATAGACTATCTCAAAGACCAGCACCACAAATTATAAGTTTAATTCAATCACTATTAAAAAACCCTAATGATGACCCAAATAAAAGATCATTAGAATTAATTGTTAAAAAATATCCATCATTTAATGGTTCAAACAATAGCCTAAGCCAATCAAACTCATCAATTGAAAACTCACCAACCTATAATGCAAATAGATCTCCAACCCATAAAAGCCAAAACTCACCATTATCAAGATCTTCAATTATAGATAACAATAGATTTAAACCATTTTCTGATAATAAATCCAATGCCAGTGATGTAAATAATAACAATAATAATATAAATGCAAGTCATAGTGATTTATCGCCAATCCAAGAACAAGGTTCTATAAACAAAGAAGATGGAGCTGGTAGTTCCAGTGGTACAAATAACAATAATTTAAGAACAAGATTAGAAATTCCAACAAATAGAATACCATTAGCATCTTCAAACAATGCTATTGATTCTTCTGCTGCACCATCATCAAATACAATTAGATCACAACAAATATCACAACCTTTATCAGAAGTACCATCATCCTGTTCTCCCCCATCAAATGGTACATTATATAATCAAACAATAAATGAAAAAGAAGAGGAATATAGTTTAGATAATAAAGAAATGCAACAAAAAAGCGTTACAGTTAATATTAGTGGTGATCAACAACAAGAGCAATCACAAGATGTTACTCCATCATCATCGACATCAACAACATTTGAGGGTTCGAATAATCTCAAAAGAATGACCAAACTATTAGAAGATGCGCCAAATAAAGAATATACAAAAGAAAATGTTCAATCAAACGATGAATCATCAAATACAACTTCATCAAATCATGATATATCATCAGAAGATGAAAAAGAAAATAAAAAAGAACTCAATGATACTGATTTACAAGTCCCAATTGGAGATATAAATAAATTTGAATATCCAAATGAAGGAGCTCGTGATAGAGCATTTTCAATAACTGATGCAATCAACAATGCAACTGTAGGTGAATATGTAGAGCCAAGAGATAGAGCCTTTTCAGTAACCGAAGCGATGAATAAAGCAACTGTTGGTGAAGCATTTAATGAAATGGAAAATAAACAAAAAGAACAAAATATGGAATATATAGATATAGAAGGTTCAGAAGGCTCCGAAGAAAATAACTATGATGAAAATGTAACAGTACCTCATCAACCAGGAATGGATCCAAAACCTCTTACACCAAAACAAATTTTAATTATTTTTTCAGGTTTAATGACAAGTTTATTCCTTTCATCTCTAGATTTAACCATTGTTGCAACAGCTTTACCTGCTATTGTTGCAGATTTACACGGTGCCGAACAATTACCTTGGGTTGTAACCATTTACCTTTTAACATCAACTTCAGTATCTCCTTTATTTGGTAAATTTAGTGATATATTTGGTAAAAAAATTCTCTTACTTTCATCTTTGGTTATATTTTTAATTGGTTCTTTATTGTGTGCAGTAGCTACATCAATGAATATGTTAATTTTAGCCCGTGCTATTCAAGGTGTAGGCGGTGGTGGTTTAATGTCTGCAGTAATGATTGTTATGGCTGAAATTGTACCACTTCGTGATAGAGGAAAGTATCAAGGTTTATTGGGTGCTGTATATGCAGTTTCTTCTGTCGTTGGTCCTTTAATGGGTGGTACTTTTACTGATAATATTACATGGAGATGGGCATTCTGGATTAATTTACCATTGGGCGCAGTTGCATTTATTGTTGTATTTTTTGCTTTAAGAATTCCTCAAAAAGTAATTCCATTTAGTGAAGGTGTTAAGAAAATTGATGTTGTTGGTTCATTATGTTTAGTAGCTGCCACAATTTGCTTCCTTTTGGGTTTAAGTTGGGGTGGAATCGATTATCCATGGGACTCACCAATTATTATTTGTCTTTTAGCTGGTACAGGTATATTTGTATTAATATTTTGGATTAATGAAAAATATTGGTTCAATACACATCCAATTATTCCATTAGATCTCTTCAAGACTCGTAACTATGTTCTCTGTAGTATTGGCTCATTCCTTCTTGGTTTTGTAATGTTTGGTGTTATTTATTATATCCCCCTATATTTCCAATATGTCAAAGGTGCCACAGCCACAGCATCAGGTCTTCAATTATTACCAACTATGTTAGGTATAGTATTATTTGGTGCTATCTCGGGACTTTTAATTACAAAATTCGGTCATTATAAATCTTATCCAATTGTTGGCATGGCTTTTATGATGATAGGTATCTATTTACTTTCATTATGGGATCACAACTCTACTCAAAAAGAATATATTGGTTATCAATGCTTTATTGGTGTTGGAATTGGTCTTACAATGCAAATTTTAGTATTGATAGTTCAAAATAGTGTCAATGTAGTTTATATCTCAATCTCAACTGCAACCGTTAGTTTCTTTAGATCAATTGGAGGTGTAGTTAGTGTTGCTGTATTTAGTGCAATTCTTAATCAACAATTTTCACAAAATTTAAGTGTTCTTGTGGAAAAAGATGCATTTATATTGAATGGAAGAGCACCACATAATTTCAATATCGAATGGATTAAAGAATATAGTGAACCAGCAAAATCCCAAATTATAAGCTCCTATCAAGAAGCCCTTTCAACTGTTTTCCTTTCTGCTGCTCCATTTGCTGGTTTAGGATGCGTATTAGTTTTATTTGTAAGAAATAATAAATTAAGAACCACAATGATCACTCAAAAAGAAAAAGATAAAATGCAACAAGAAATGATGGAACAACAAGAAGAATTAGAAGGCGATGAATATTCAGATACAAGCATTGATATGGAAAATAATAATGTAATGGAAAATAAGGAATATAATAATAATAATAATATAAATAATAATGAAGTAGAAATAGAATTAGAGCAAATTAATCAAACCACAAAAAGAAAAAACACTTTAGAATCCTCTGTATAAAATATTTTAATATATAATAAAACAAAACAAAACAAAACAAAAAAAAAAAAAAAAAAAAAAAAAACTATGGATATAATTTATTTTAAACTGTTGTATATTTAATCTAAATTAAATATTTTTAATAAAAATATTTAATAAAAAACAACTATGAAATTTTCTTTCTTTTCTAAAATTTATACATTTTTTTATTCAACTAGATTTTATTATATTAATTAATTTTATTTACAACAACCAAAAAGAAATCTCTATCTGGTGTTATCATTATATCATTATTTTTTGATCTAACTCTAAAAAATGAAAGTTCATCCTAAAGGTATAATTTAAAAACATTAGTACAATAATTATAATTATATTATATTAATTTTACACTTACATTATTATCATTTACTTTTAAAAGATTGTTTGCTTTTGGGAAAATATCTAAAATTTCTTTTGAATAATTTAAACTAACATCTTGGTCAAAGGTTGATTTAATAACTGATCCTTGTTTATTTATAATTAAAACGCCAATGACACCTTTATGTGATTGAATTTTTTTAAAAGTTTCTTCTATATCGTTCTATAAATGTTTTAAATAAAATTAATATCGTATTCCAAAACAATATTATTATGATTATTATCTTTTCATACCATTTTTTTAATTTAATATTTAAGGTAATTATTTTATAAGTTTAATTTTATAATTTAAAAAAAAAAAATAAAAAATGATGAATTTAAAAAAAAAAATAATAAAAAAAATAAAAAAAAATAATTAAAAAAAAATAAATAAAAAAAAAAAAAAAATTATTATAATAAAATAGTTACAATTATAGAAAATTTTAAAAATAGTTTTGATTAATTTTTAAATATTGATAGTTCAATGCTTTAAATAAAAAAATAAATAAAAAAATAAAATGTTTATATTTAAAAAAACTTTTATTTAAATTATATGTATTATTATTTTAATCTTTAAAGAAAATACGACTTCCACTGAAACTGTATTTAAAGAGTTCATATTCTTGTCTGTAATTATCAATCTTCTTAATTGCTAAATGATTTTGATCTTCTTTAATACCCTTGGCATAAGCTTCTGATAACATTCTCTTTCTGTCATCTTCAGATTTCTTATCGATACGATCAAACCAATGAAGCGAGTCAAAGTCTTTATTTTGATCTAATAATTTGAGAATATAAGCCAAACCTATAGCAAAACCATCGTCAGTAAATTGAAGGGTTTCTGCACCAATTGATTTTGATTTTTTGAAAAGTTTATCTTTAGAATTAATCATATGATCGATATAATTTGAAGCTAAAGCTGGAACGATAATATAAAAGTTTTTAAGATGTTGATTATTGACATTACGGAATTCAGTGGCAAAAACTTGTACCAACATCTTAAAGTATTCGGTACCTTCTGAGAGATTATTTGAAAGATTTTGAAGGATGGAGTCTAAATTCTTTGAGGCATCTAAAGTGTCACTGGATAAACGATCTTTGGATACCAAATCTTCGAATTTGGGTATGTTTTTGAGATCTGGAACAAATTTAATTGCATTACTACAATAATGAAGACCACCAGATCTAACCAATCTAATATAACCCATAGCATTACCAATATGGGTGATTAATAATCTAAAATGATCTAAAAAGCTTAAACCTGCTTCAGAAATACCTAATTGTCTAATATCTCTTTCGAGTTCGGTGACTAATTCGTATGGATACATATTATTTAATTTTTCCTTATTTTCTCTATAGTATTTAATATTCTTGTAAAGCTTTGATTTAATTTGATCATCGAATAAAAACTCTGAGAAGATGCTGAATTTTTGTACCAAGAAACGATAGGCAAAGTTAATAGTTGTGTTCATAATACCAGAACCATGGGTACGAATTGAATTTGAAATGTGAGTAATATTGATGGTATTTAAAGTTTTACTATTTGATGAACGTTGAACAAAGATTTGATTATTTAAATTGTAATTGTAACGACTAACGAAAATATGAATATTTCTCATAATTTCTAAAACATCTAAACCTTGTTCTAAAGTTGCACCTGGTAAATGAACTTCTAATAACTCTAAACCATATTTATAGAATGCCATATTTCTCATTTCTGAATAAGTCTTCCAATCGAAAAGGGCAACAGTGTTGAGATTATAAAAAGTACTATCTAAATAATGGCCGACTCTACTCTTGATATCAATGGTACGATCAAAGAAACGTAAAGGTTTAAGCTCAAGGAATTTTCCAAATTCTTTAATACCAGTTTTGAATGGATCTTTTTCTTCGATATTTAAGAATGCATGAATGTGAAGACGCAAATCAGTTTCTACATCTTTACCTAATGGTTGAATAATTTGCCTATCGATCATGTCTTCCATTTCGTTACGATAGATTTCGATTAATTGAGTGTATGGGCTATCTACATGAATTGCTTTTTCGAGGATATTAACGACATCTTTTAAACCAGTTAATGTATATTGAAGTGATTTAGCTTGTGATGGATTTTGATAAAGGAATTGAAGATAAGTTGGGAAGAGATCTCTTGACCAAAAGAGAATGGAGCAATCGCAACTACTTTTTATAATTGAACCAAGATCTGAAATAAACTCTAAACGCTTAATGTGGAGACGAAGTTCTTCAATTTCTTGTTCTTTGAGGGCATTTGATTGATAAATAACATTTAAACATAATCTAATTACAGTGATACGTTCTGGAGTAGCAACACCACATAATAAATCTGAGACTAATGAAAGGGCAACGATTACATCAAGCTCGATTTCAGAGTAATTTGTACGACCAGAGTATTTGGCACGAACTACATTAAGTTTTTCATTTATAATATCGGTTAATTGTTGTACCATCATACTGATATGGGCAGAAATCATAGCACTACGACGATGAAAAGTATTTTGAATTGATTTTAACATTTCAGCACATTGGAATAACTTTCTAACATCGGATGGTTTCAATGGAGCTGTTAAATTCATGTGGAGACCAATCATAGTTTTTAATAGATGACTAATATGATAAGATAAAACAACACCTTGAATAATTTGATTTACTTTTGAAAGAGATGCATCCCAATGACTAGTACGAGCTATACTACTTTCCATACGAACCATCCAACGGCTAACTTGAAGGTAATAAGATTTAACACGTGGTGCAAATTCTTTATCAACAGTCTTTAAATATTCCTTTCTAAGTTCCATAATATTAGGATTACCAACAATCTTTATCATACCTGGAAGTAAAGTTTGGATAAAGTCACCAGAGAACCAAAATACATTGGCATAAATAGAGACCATTGGAACACGTTTTGTAATTTCCCAAACCAATTTAAAGAAACTCTTGTCGGTGATATCTTTAAAGAGTGAAATATAAAAGACATATAAACCAAGGAAACCTGGGAAACGTTCACGTAGATTTAATTCTGAACTATCCATAATTTTAGCGCTTAATAACCCAAATAATAATTTAACATTATAGCAAAACTCTTGTTTCAAAACCTTATTGCTTTTAACTTCAATAACACCTGGAAAATCAAATTCTTGTGTAATACATGTTTGAAAAATAAATCCTTCTAATAATTGACCTTTTAATGATAATAATAATTTTTCTAATTGCCATAATTTTTCATCCTCTTGAACTGAATATTTACCTGGTTCTTGTCTAACTGATTTAACCATTCTATGATAAAAATAATAATAATAATAATAATAAATGGTTAGTTATAAATATATTGAGATTTTATTATGATTGGTGTAGTTCATCATGATGAACTTAATGCTGTGTATTCTTACCTTAAATATCTGCCCCATGATGAATTTAAAGCTGTATTTTGTGTAATAATACTATCCAAAGTAACCAATACACTAAATACATCAATCATTGAATAATAAACTGTTTGTAAATGGACATTTTTGAAAAATTGTGTATGAATATTTTTTTGATTTTGATAAATTGATGCAAACTGACTAATTATGTTACGAATTAATGAATAACATCTATTAACAAATGCTGATAAATCAATCATAAATGGTAAAAGTTTTCCAACTTCAATTTGAACATCACCTTCTGATGATTCACCTGTAATTTCACCAAAAACTGTTAATGGTTGATAAAATTTAGATTCAGCCTAAAATTAAATTTAATTATTAGTATTAATATTATTATTTATTATTATATTTGATAATAAATTATATTACTTACAGTTTCTTTTAAAATTCTTGCTTGGTTGCATAATGATGAAAATACCAACATTACTTTATTAAATATTTTATGATCGGTTTTAACCAATTCGATTAAGTCTTGTTGTTCATATGGTTTATTATAAATTGATAATGGATCAATATTAATATCCCAAACTTCATTGAGTGTATCATCTAATGCTTCTTCAATTCTCCAAATTTGTTGTGCATAATCGACTGCAAATTGATTAAGTTTTGTTAACTGTTGTTCACCTACTAACTCTATAAAAATAAAACAATATTAGTAAATGTAAAATTTTATTTTATTATAAAGATTTTATGCATAATATTATTGTTATTATTTGTTTGTGTGAAATTTACTTGATGAACCATCTTCAAATGCATCAAATTGATATTCTTCATTATTTGTATTGCTATACGATGTTGCCATTTTTTTTTGTTTTTTGTATTTGATTTTCTATTTATTGAATTTTAATGTAATTTGTATTTGTTTTGTTTTGTTTTTTTCGATTATTTATGAAAAACACTGACCAAAACTAAAACAAATAAAAAAACAAATGAAATAGAAAATGAAATATTAAAAATACATAAAAAAAAAAAAAAAAAAAAAGATATTATTGAGACTTTTTTTTATATAACGATTTTTCAAAAGAAAATTAAAAAAAAAAAAAAATTTTATTTTTTTTTATTTTTTTTAAATTTTCAAAAATAAAAAAATAAACAAATTAAATAAACCAGTATTTGTCATAGTAATAATGATTAAAAAAAATAAGATTTATATTTAGAAACAAATAATAAATAATTTACCCATATATAAATAGATTTAAGTTATAAATTTGAAAAATATTTTTTTTTTATTTATTTTTAAGTAAATTATTTATAAATACAAACCCTAATTCTTTTTTTTTTTTTTTTTTTATTTATTTCATATTTATTTCTTTTTTTTTTTTTTTTCCTAAGTTTAATTAAAAACTTAATACATTTTTTTTTTTATAATTTTTTTTTTTTTATAATTTAAAATTATTTTACTACCACATCAATGATTGCAAAATTTAAAATAGAATGAACTCGCTGATTAATGAAATATCAAACAATAAAGATGATAGTACACAAACTAATATAAATAATAAATCATCACCCACAATACCTATTTATTTACAAAAACAAATAGTTAAAATAATAAGTGATCATATAAATTATAGTAATAAACTAATAGTGGCAATTGGAGATAAAGATTACAGAGAGGAAGAAAAAAAAAACAACCAATTTACTCTATCGGTGGCATTGGTATCAAAGCAATGGTTTTCCACACTATCAAATCATTTAAAAGTATCTGTAGATTTTAATTATGACAGCAATTTCATCTCATCGATTTTCCAAGAGGTTAACAAAAAAGAAATAAAAAAAGATGAAAGTTTTTCATTACAAAAAGAAATTACTCCATTTAATAACCAAAGCAAATACTCAATCATTAAAATGGAAAATATTGAAACTATAAAACTACATTATGACCACAATTCAGTGTCACTTCCATTTTATAAGAGAATTAATAATAGAGCTGATGTCAAATACTCAAACGACAGCGCAAGGGAAAAGCTCAAAGAAATAAAGAATTTGAAAAGAATTATAATAAGAAATATAAATTTAAACTTTTTTCTTCGCGATGAATTTTTTGAGTTTGGTATCAATAATATTCAATTATTGGAACTACTTATAAACAACAACACAAATGTTGAAACATTTAAGAAAATTAAAAAAATCAGTTCACTGATTGTAGGTTTTTTCCAACCTACAAACAAACATATAATCAGTAATGCAATAAAATATTTTCATCCAAATTTAAAGCAAATTTTTTTTTACTCTAGAGTATCAATTCCATATTTAGAAATATCTGGTTTTATAGAAAATGACAAAATTTTTAATAACAATAACAATAACAATAACAATAACAATAACAATAACAATAATCAAAGTAATTTAACTATAGCAATAGAAAATGAAAAGCAACAACAACAACAACAACAACAATCATTGGTTTTAGTTAAAAATGGAATTAACTATTTCGAAAATATTCAATCAATTGTAGTTTACCATACCATAACGTTTAAAGAACTTTATTATTTATTAAATGCTACTCCAAATCTTTTTGAATTATCAATTAAGGTTTGCCAAAGCCAACTACAGTGGTTATTAACAAATGACAGAGAATTTGACCCATACCAAATTCCAAAACCACCATGCACGTGCCATCTTCTTCGTAGAGATACAGAAGAAAATGAAGTCGAAACCTCAAAAGAAGAATTCCAAAAACTATTCGAATTAGTCCATGAACAGTTAAAAACAAATAAAACAAAGCTTAGGAAAATTACATTAGCTCAAATGTGTCCACAAATTAGTTTCTTTACTCTTCCAGATCCAAACAAAAAGATATTGGAACAATTTTCAAAACGCTTTTCACTTTTAATTTCAAGTATACCAAACTTAAAGAGAATTCAACTTGAGGGTTTTAGAATCACTGTGATTTTCAATGATATCATTAGGACTCATAATAACAAATCAATAGAGGAGTTTATATTAGATACTATTATAGATTCATTTACAGATGGAACCTATTTTAGAAGACATTGTGAAAGTTTAATAAAGGAGAATCCACATATTAAATATTTTAAGGTTTTTAAAAAAACAACCACAGGTCGTATAACTTATTTTAGTTTTAAAAATGGAAAAATTAACAAATAAAATAAAATCTTTCTTTATTAAAATTTTCAATTACCTATTTATTTTTTAATTGTTTATTTTTGTTTCCATAGTATTATTGTCTAATATATTATTAATTATATTATTATTGTTTATATTATTTATATTATTATTATTATTATTATTATTATTATTATTATTAATTATTATAATGGTGATGGTTATTACTTTTCACTATTATTAACTTTGTGAGGTTCTGAATTTGATATGTCCGGTGTTTTCAAAAATGGTTTTTCATTATTATTACCTTGGCTAATTTCTGAATTTGATATGCCTGAAGGTTTCAAATAAAGCTTTTTCATT